TGCAAGATACTAAAGGAATTGACGTCTTTATGGTTAGCTTTGGTTTGGGATTTGAGGTTTGTAGGTGCATGGTAGCAATTTTATTAATATTTAATAATGGAATTTAGAAAATGAGAGAATCACGAAAAAGGTAGCAGCTACACTGTTTGTTTTCATGAATTTGACAATACTTAGATTTGAAAGGAAAGTTGTACGTTTACCATAGATGGAAAAATGAATTCATTTGCATATGGAAAATGAGTTTTGATTAGATAATAGCAGTTCCTTTGATTGGCAGTAACAAATTAGAGAAGTTCCACGAATTTTACTTGAATTGAACTTATATTGATGTTGTAAATAAGTTCTCTTCATTCGGCAACAATTATGTTATAATTTAGGTTAGAACAACTTGTGAATGGACAGTCTACCTCAGCTATTTGCCAACTCTCATATGTTAGTTGATTTTATGTATCGAATAATTGGATTCCAGAAATTTTCTATGCAGTTGCCAAATTACTTGGCTTTCTAAAGTTGTAATATGAGAAAAGAATGTAAATTGCACAGTTATTGATGTTTAATTATTTGGTGTGATTAATTAAAACTTTGACAGATGAGTTATGAATTCTACTTCTCCTTAAATATGGAATTTGAGTAGTGAATGTTATTATTAATATGAGATTCAAGACTTTAGTTTGAGACTTTGATTGTGAACTTGTAAGCAAACACTAATAAATGAGAATCGTTGAATGTTGAAGCTTGTATGAAAAGGAGGATGAGTATTTGATTTGGTTGATTGCCCAATGGATGAGTCGTGTGAATTTGATTGATAAATGTTAGATATTTGATATTGTCTAAACAGATAGAAAATTTTATTTTTAGGGGAAGTTCTGCCAAAATTTTGACAAAATCTTAATTACTTATAATTATAGTTAGTAAATTAGTTGTTAGATTTATTTAAAGAGATTTCTTACTCTATTCCTTTCTCTCCTCTTAATTTAGCTTTTTATAGATCAATCGAGCTCGTCTGCTACTCCTAAATCAAAAACCAGAGCTAGAGCTTTTTGTTCTCTATAATAAATAGTGCATTACTACCTGCTTCATGCATATAGATAATACTACATAATGTTCTAATTACCTATTTAATTATTTATCACTTATCTAATTTATAGCATAAATATTAATTACTTTTATATTTATTTATACATATTTGCATGTTTGTTCATTTGCATAACAATCTTTGTTTATTTAATGTGTTTGCATTAAAATGCAATGTTTGATTAGATGTGTTGTGCTGATAATATTCCCTGTTTGTGTGGGATTGGGATGAAGTGGGTCACCATTGGATTTGTGAGGGCGGTCTATGATACCGTTAGCCATGTATGGGGAGATCGCGCCCCGTGTATATCTAATGATATGAATGATATGGGAAAACTAAGGTTGCCTCCTGTTGGTATGGAAAAGAAAAGAGAGTATAAAAAAAAAATTGAGATGGTTGGTCAAGTAAGGATTAAACCGGTTGGCCATGTATGGGATCGGCTTCTTGGTGCACACGTCATGAGGGGATGGGCCATGTGTGAGGACAGCTCATCAGATTTCTATGACGCCATTGACCAATTTCCACTTGTTTGATTATTTGAAAGTATAATTACTTATGAGTGCTGATGTTGTGCTGTATGCTTGATTGGTTGTGTTCATTTTAGTATTTTAGGAAGCGTTTCGTGTAAATATCCATGTTATGCAATAATTATTATTATTATAAAACTCACGTTTCTTTTGGTTAATTTTTCAAAGGAGTATATTCTTCTTTGTCTCGGCTAAAGCTTTGGTTTCTTCACTGCAAAACTAGAAAAGTAATTTTCTAATTCTAGTAATTATTTAAATTGTAAGCGTTATGTATAAGAACTTATTTATTTCTTTTTAATATTGAACTCCGCAGTTATAGAATTATGATAATTCTTATTATAGGATTATGATAATTTCAATTATGTATGAGTGTGATCATATTAACTGATAACTTTAGGTTGATGACTTACAGGTCTATATATGTATGTACGTACCCGTTAACCCATATTATAGATATTGTGTAATGTAATTAGGTCCGAGTTGTGAAATATTTGGAATACTAGATTTGGGCCAGGATATAGTATGATTATAATATATTTTATATATATATATAAATAAATAATATGGGTTTACTATTTCTGTGATCCAATTTGATGTGTTTGAATTTAGTAGTTCATACTTAATACGGGCCTTGGAGGGCTTATATTTACCTAGGCCCTAATGCCGGTCCGGTCCACGGTTTTAGTCGTGACATAATTAGATCTTAATTTAAAATGATTTGTGTGGAATATGAAATCTAGATATACTTTTAGTAAATTAGAATATGACTCGTTTAAAATATCACCAATAAACTTATAAACATAATTATAATTGAATTTTAGTTTAAATGTTTTTTTTATTAGTATCATCATATAAATTAGTATAATTATACTTAGAAGTCTTATGTATATATATCAAAGCATTATTCAGTAAAAATATTGATGGTTTATTTATTTCGTAAGAATGAAAATTAATAAGAATCACTTGATCTCCACAGGCGTATGTTCTTCCAGGAAACGTCTTCAGCTTAATCATGTCCAAGCCACCAGGAGTTGAGTACAAAAGCAGGCAGTAAATACTTTTTATTATGTTTTTAATGGATTTAGTTCTCATTCTATGATAATTTATTATAGTTTAGTATTATTATATTTTAATTGATTTTTAGTTTGTTATTGATATTATTCTTATTGAATTTTAATAGATGTTTGATTGTCAAATTGTAGATATTGGTTTGAATTATTTATTTAGGTTGACTTTCAATTCTTTTATTCTATTTTAATATTACTGTTTACTTTTGTTTTAGAATTTTACATGTTTTATTATTTTGAAATTGAATTTTAATTTAGCAGGAGCGTCTTCCAGCTTAAATGCAATGGTCAAGCCACCAGGAGTTGAGGAGATACAAAAGCAAGGCAGTAGAATACTTTTTGATTATGGCTTGGTTTTAGCTAAGGTAGTCGAGATGCTTCCATTGTAGTAGGGTGGTCACGAGTATTGTCGCTACTCTGAGTAATTTGACTTGTATAGTTTATGGTATCATACGTACGGTCCTTCCAGCCGGTAGGAGATACTTTTAATGTTATCAGATCTGTTTGAGGGTTTGTTGTAATGTTGATTAGGTATTACTGTGGCTATTGTGCATTGAAGGACATATGTCGTAAGCTGATGGACATAGATAGTTGAGTCTTGAGTACTCTTAGGATGTCGGTTAGAGAGCTTATGGCAGACGAGGAGTTTCTGAAGCTACTATCATATGTACGGTGTTATCAGGCACCTGCGACCAGGTTTGGAAATCAGGACCGTGTAGTGAGATATATTGGTTTGAATTATTTATTTAGGTTGACTTTCAATTCTTTTATTCTATTTTAATATTACTGTTTACTTTTGTTTTAGAATTTTACATGTTTTATTATTTTGAAATTGAATTTTAATGCATTTTTTATGTATTTTTTTGTTGCACTTCGGGTTTGGATTCAGGTTACATGTATTGAAACATTTGTGATTAAATGAGAAATTCTAAAAGGAATTTGAGACGGGTTTGAGTATTATTGATTTAATAGCAGATTTGGATTCGGGTAATTTATTTCTAGTGGGTACTCTGCACTGCTGCCAACCTTAGCTATATACAGATGGTCTGCGTCTATCTCTCTTTCTTTTTTGCATTCTTTTATTTTTCTTTGATGGGTACTCTTTCTGCAGTTCAATTTGGTAGTAGAAATTTCTGAAATGTGAATGGGTTTTGAAACAATTTGTAATGCCTCTTGTACAATTTCCTTTCGTTTTTTTCTCTTTCTCTCTAATTTGAAGATTCTCCATTTTTTGCACTTTTTGGATATTGGTTCAAGAAGAGAAGACGCTAAAAGAGAATATAATCTTGTTTTTGCTGCGCATTCTTTGGTTTCAGGTGTGGCTGCTTTGATGGCTGTTATTATTATTTTCTAAAGTCTATTATTTGGGTTTTCGAGCATTTACCCTTCTTTCTTTTAAACGAAAGTTATGCATAGATACCATAATTAATTAGGTTATTTTATATGCATCCTACTACTAACATGAATTAGATTTTTTTTTTTATTACAATGTTCAACCTTTTTATTGGATTTTCTTATGAATTTTCATGTACTTAATTAGATTTATGTGCAATGTAATAGGTGTAAAGGCATTATTTAAAAATTAATTTTTTTTAATGTTGTACCAAACACTGGAAAATGGTTTTCAACTTATTTTTCATATACCAGCCAAACATTAGAAAATAATGTATTTTTTCTAGACAACATAAAAAATATTTTCTTATAAGTTATTTTTTAAAAACAAATGAAATTCAAGCATGAACGGACTTAGAAAATTGGTTAGGAGGGTCCAATTACAAATTAAAGAATATTATTAGAGCAAACAAAAAAGTATAAGAATTTATTGAAAATTTGTAATATTCTATTCATTTCAAACTTTTTGCTGCTAATACCATAAAAATTAAGGACCTTAATTATAAAAATATTTCATATAGAATTCACAACATATTTTATTGTCGAGAAAATTTTGGAAGGTAAAAACTTAGGAACCATGGAGTCTAAAATTTATTAAATAAATTTTTATAACATGTTCCTTGTTTGTTTTTCTCCTTCCTTTTTATTATTCCATACATCAAAATAAAAGTTCACTTATTTTAAAAAATAGAATTTCACATGTAAATTCATAATTAGTCTATTTTTTCCGTCAATGCCATTAAATTTCCATTAGAAAATGCTAACTTTTTACCAAAATTAAAGTTATAGAGCTTAAAATTAAAACTGATAAATAAAAATTTAAGGGCATAATTGCTGAAATTTTATGAATTCAGGGACTAATTTACGCATTTTACCCAAAAAAATTGAGTATTTAATTTTTTTTTTTTTTAACTTCGGGGCCGGGGGTTTGCCCCCCCTTGGCCCACTGTTGGCCCACTGTTGAGTCCGTCCTTGAGCCTAAGTCTTCTTATACCATTTAATTATTCCTGTCATAATTCTATTCAGAGAGGCGTAGAGCTATGGCGCCAGTATTGCCGAATTCCCAACCATGGGTTGAGAAATAGTAATGACCCTTCTTTTCTCGCTATTTTGTGTTTGACACACATTTTATGCATCTTTATGCAAGTTAAAGTTTGAAACACTGGTTTTGGTTTCGTTTTCAGTCGACCAAAGCAAGTTAAAGATGTGGCTCATCAGGAGGAGGTGGTTCGGGTCCTCACCAACACCATTGAAACCGGTGATGTGAGATATATGCAGCTTCCAAATTTACAGTTTATTGTTTTTACTAATTTATATTTATAATTAACTTTATTTGATTTTCAAACCCTAGGTTCATCACTGTACTGATAGTTTTTACTAATTTTGTGGTTTCTGTAGTGCCCACACATGCTGTTTTATGGCCCACCTGGTACCGGAAAAACCACCTCCGCTCTGGCCATCGCTCGCCAGCTTTTTGGGTACTTCTTAATTTTGTAGCAGTATTATTTCTGGCTGCTTGCATTTGTGTTGTGTGGTTAATGTTTTAAGCCAATTAAGAAGAATATTTAAAATTTTTTACTATTTCAATGGTTCGAACTTTTTTTGCTTAATTTGATTTCTTTTATGGTGTAAATTGTTTGAAATAGAGTGGACAAAGACTGTTAGGGTTTAGAATTTAAGATTTCTTTTTCCTCAGAAGTTGCGAAGAAATATGCAATGATTCTTGGTCACTTTAGCTGCGCCATTCACTATCGATCTTTTCTTCTCTCTTGTAATTTGGATGCACTTAATTATTTTCTTGTGCTTTAGTTATAAATTGTTTAAAGTGAACGTGTACATTGTGCTGTATTCCTTAATCCTAAATTAGTAGCAATATTTTACAGACCTGAACTCTACAAGTCCAGGGTCATGGAGCTAAATGCAAGTGATGATCGTGGAATCAATGTTGTTCGTACTAAGATCAAAGATTTTGCTGCTGTGGCTGTAGGATCTTCTGGTTCGCATGCAGGGTACATATACTTCCGTCGTGCAATAACATTTATTGCTGAATGTGATGGTTGCTTTACCTGTTGTCTGACATTTCAGGGGTTACCCTTGTCCGCCATATAAAATCATTATCCTAGATGAAGCAGATTCAATGACTGAAGATGCTCAGAATGCCTTGAGACGTACAATGGAAACCTACTCCAAAGTTACAAGATTCTTTTTCTTATGCAACTATATCAGCAGGTGCTCCTTTCTACTTTGCTTTGTTGCTGTGAAACCTGAATTTCTGTGTTGCATATTCTTGAAGTAATCAAAGATTTTGCATGATCAGCCTTTTTCTTTCTATTTTCCAATATAGGGGCAAGGATATATTTGATTGCTTCTTTTTTCCTCCTCTTTCTTTTTGGATGTGTTGGGATATCATGCATCTTTTAGGTGCCGTCTAATTAAATAGTTGAACGCTATCTGTTAGTATGTTCCAGAGTGGTGTGTCATAACTATATTCAATTATATTTTGAGGCTCTTCTTTATATTATGATTAAACTGCTGTTTTTTGACATGAATGATGTTTAGCACCACACTTATCTAATGTGGTACATTTGGCTGTTCACTAAGTAATTTTTACCTGCTGTGCTGCACATTTTATCAAGTTAAAAATTGAAAAGTGATAGGCAGAACAAAGTGTGCTTGATATTCATAATGGTTCTTATTCCAGCCTCGCCCCCATTTTAATCAACTTCTCCTGGATGATACCCAACAGTTTTGACCTATGCAGACAATCCTACTGAATATTTTCATCCATAGTTTTTCCATTCAACAGCTTTTTTTGTTTCTCTTTTGATATTGAATTTAACTTTTGGACAAACACGAAACTAGATCATTGGCCTATTACATAAATTTGACCCTGAATCTTGACCAATTCCCCTCTTGTGCCCCTGAACTTTGCTAGGGTTCAATCATGATCCTGCATTTTCACATTTTAGTAATAACTATGTCCCCTCGTCAGAATGAAATAACTTTGCGGGAGTTCAATCGTGATAATGCACTTTCACATTTCATTTTGGCAATGGCATAATTATTATTGAAATGTGAAATTGCAGGGTTATGATGGGTTTTCCGCAAAGTTTAAGGAGTCACAGGATAATTACGGAAAGTAAATGGTCAAATTTATGCATTATGCCCTATATAATTTATTTAGTGAAAAACCATACAGTACCAGCTATTGAATATTCAACCTGGTTGATATAAGTGGCAGCTGGTTCATCAGTGGGTTCTTTTCTGTAGTGAATTTCATTGATTTGACTTCCAGGGATATCCACATGCTATAGAATCAATTTGTGGAAAATAAGTTTATCCTTCATCATATCTACTAAATGTTTAGAATATTGAAGGACAGTTCTGCATATCTTATAAATTAGGCAATTGTCATTTTTCATAGGATCATAGAGCCACTTGCTTCAAGATGTGCGAAATTCAGGTTTAAGCCACTTTCAGAAGACATCATGAGCGATCGTATATTGTACATTTGCAAAGAAGAAGGCCTTAATATAGATGCAGAGGTATGCACATTCAATGGTTGGGGCTAGTCTTATTCACATAACCAATTTTAACAGTGGCCTGATTTCTTTGTGCAAAACTACTCCCCTGCAGGCCCTTTCCACCTTAAGCTCTATATCACAAGGGGATCTTCGTCGGGCTATCACTTATTTGCAAGTAAGTGATGATTCAACTTTTCTGCATTTAATGGTTCACTTTGTTTATAATCCTGCATTTTTGTGAGATAGTGATGTTGCAATGTCATGTGTGCATGTTAAATGAGCAATTCACTATGTTCCGCTTTCATTTGCACCCAGTACTGACCATGAAGGCATGAAGGAGGTTATCCGTGAATGGCTTGGATATTTGCTCTGTAATTTAGAGTATCCGAATGAAAATGTTGATGTTTAGTTGCATGTTGGAAATTACTTGAAATAATAGAGTGAGACTCAATAGCATTGGCATAGAGTCAATTCATAATTTTGTGTTTGGTTGGAATTATTTGCATTTTATTTTGCTTCAAATTGACTGTAAACACTGTTTCGCCGAATTATGCTTGAATCTTGTTATGGTAGATGGCGTTTTTGTATTTAACAATTGATTAACAATATACCAATAGATTTCAAATTTGTTCCAGTATGGCAGTTTTGATCATTTATTTAAAAATCTGTTTTTAGCCAACATTGGTTTCTTCATTTGTTCAATATTTAATGCTCAATGACAAAATCTATGTATCATGATCTGTCCATACTTCTCTACCTGAATTAAAGTTGCAATCATGTATTGTATTTTATGCAGGGGGCTGCTCGCTTATTTGGATCAACAATTTCATCAAAGGACCTAATAAGTGTATCTGGGGTAATATGAATTCCTTGAACTCTATTTTCGTTCCCATTTTATTTCCTGGAAATTTCTACTCAGTATCTCATTGTTCTTGTGTGATGCATATGCCTATTTGTGCTTACATGCAGCCATTGTGCATTTATACGTGTTTAATTTGTTCCTTTTCATCTAAAATGTTGTTTGTAAGATCCAATTCTGTCATTATGGTTTAGTTTAGGTTGGAATACCAATTACTACTCTGGTCTTGGCTGTAAAATATATAACATATCTTGAAGGCCATACGGCCAAAGAAACCTTGGTGCTTACCCCTGGAACATAGAAAGCTGAGCAGAACAAGGAAAGGCAGTTTGCTGGATTACATGATGTTTTAGAATTGAGAATCCTTTATTTTTGGTTTATCAGGTCATTCCAAAGGAGTTTTTAGGTGCATTTTATGCAGCATGCAAAAGTGGTGACTTTGATTTGGCAAACAAGGAGGTCAATAATATAATTGCAGAAGGATATCCAGTCTCCCAGATGCTTGTTCAGGTTCCTTTTTGTTTTGTCATGATGCTTTCATTTACTTTAGTGGTTGCTGGATAAACATGCAACTGATATGATATTTCTTCTAGCTGTTTGATCTAGTGGTTGAAGCAGATGATATATCAGATGAACAAAAAGCTCGAATATGCAAGAGTTTGGCTGCAGCTGATAAGGTCACTTTCCCTAAAGTTTATTTCTTTACATAGTATCTTCTTTAAGTTTATGAGAGCGCAGTAAAAGTTGAAAGATATCTGCCATTATATCTATGATATTCCAACCAACAAATCATAAAATCCTTAAGGCTTAAGCCAGCTAGGTGTCATTGTTTCAAGTCATCATTATTGTTCCTGATAAAAAAAAGTAACCCATAAAAATGAGTTATTGAAGAGGAAAAGATACTGTTAAATATATATATATGTATATATATGGTTTTGGCTGATTGACCTGGCTGTTTCTATTTATGCATGATTGGAATTAGTTTCTTCATTTCTGGATCTCCAAATTTTTTATTTTTATTTTCTGGCCAGAATTCATGAATAATTTTCAAGGTACAGCACATATACATTCCATTGGAAACAATGCTTATATTTTTTCTGCTCCTGTGTACAGTGTCTTGTTGATGGTGCAGATGAATACTTACAGCTGCTGGATGTGGCCAGCAACACAATGCGAGCACTGTGTAACATGCCACAAGAATTCTCTTACGAGTGTTAGTGTCACGCTGAGATGTTGTCTATTAACTTAGTTAGCTGTCAGAAAACTTTTTTTTTTTTATTTTTTTATTTTTATTTTTTATTTTTTTAAACTTTCGTCGAAGAAGTTCTACTAACTTATACATTTACACCAGAGGCCTTGTTCTCTTCAATCTTTTTGGTTCTTGCTAAATGCGATTAGCATGCTTCAACCTACAACTGTTGATTCATTCATGTCTATTATCATTCTATTTGAATTTAAAATTTTACAGCTCTCAAAATTGCATAGAAATGAAGTATTGGTTTTCTAATGAAAAGTTGCTGTTAAAAATTCAATCCAAAAGTGTTCAATTTTAAGTAAATTATACATTATGATCAAGTTGATGGTACAAATGGAGCATTATTCCATAAGTTTATCTTATCCAACTTCCTGAAAAACTGAACTTAGTTGAAATATGGATAAAAGCTTTGATTAAATGAAAATGCTGTTAAATCTTCTTTACTCGTATATTTTTTTTTTTAAGTTGAAACTTGATATGATTATAGCTGTCCAAATATTTGAAATAACACTTTAATGTTCACATTATGAAGGAAACTACATGATTGGTTATTTTACCGTTGCAAGAAGGCTTGTCATAGGGCATGATCTAATAAATGATAATGTCTGTATATTTGAAATTCATTTTAAACTTGTAGCTTCCACTGGAGCCCAATTATCATTCATTTCCTGCTGTAATATTGTACTTTGTGACAGTGAAGATAGCCACCTTAGGTTAGATCTTCGAAAAATTGAGACGCTAGTTAAGATTTTTTTTTTTTTTTTTTTTTTTTTCTCAGAAAATTACTAGCTCTATGAGGCATAAACATTCGATCCTTTCTTTATGGTAAAATGATTGTAATATGCGAGTATGAATCCTTTTTATTGGTCGTAGCATTACAAGTCGCAGTTACCAACAAAATTGTGCACATTTATATTTTGCGGCTCCGTTTACTAATTGTCTGCCTTTCTCATTCTAAATGATTTCTACGATCCATGAGCCTTAATATCCGAGATGGTCACAATGTTCAAATTTGACTGCGTTATAATCATAGTTTAGATTGTGCATATATTGCTAAACCAAAAATATGGACCTTCATCTTAACTATGCAGTACTTGCCTTGTTTGGCTGAAAAATACAATATAAAACACTCAATCTTGAAGGGCCATAATCGGGGCCAAAGAACCTTTGGTGCTTACCCTGGAACATAGAAAGCTGAAGCAGAACCAAAGGGAAAGGCAGTTTGCTGGATTACATGATGTTTTGAGAATGAAGAATCCTTTAATTTTTGGTTATATCAGGTCATCCTGATCACAAAGGCACTTTTTGGCAAAGTCTTATTAAAGGTGGCCTACAATCTTTTTTTATGTCTGGAGCTTAACATATCGCGCTTTAACACTGATGTTGAGGTGACCATTCTGTGATGTTTGTGCATTAAATCAAATGGCCCCGAGCCGTCTGAAATAATATAATTGCATGGAAACGCGATATGTGGCCAGTCTACTCCCAGGTGCTTGATGACAGGATTTCCTTGTTTTGTTGTAGTGTGTTCATAAAAATGATGGACCTTAATTTCACTTATATATTACTTTTAGTGGAAGGCCGTTTTGCTTAGAGTCGATCAAGGAGATCTATTTATGAATCTAAAACTATAGATATTAATAAGATTAATTTCAATTGCATAGACTGATTAAACATATAAATCTAGTGGAGTTAAGAAAAGGAAAGACAGGAAAATGAAAGATCATTACGTCGTAGCAGAGCAAACGTGTGCTACAGGTCCTAGTGCTAATGAACACAAAAAGCGTAAGCTCGGAACTGACGCATTGAACAAGAGGTTTATGGTGCTCAGTTGCCATGCACGATAAGGTCACTTTCCCTAAAGAGTTTATTCCAGTTGTTGTCTTACATAGTAATATACCAGTCTTTTAAGTTTAAATGAGCAGCCGCTAGCTCATAAATTCATTCTGCTTCTCACAATAGTTAACAAGGACTAAAAAGATCAATCTAGCCACACATACAATATCTATCCAATCGAACTATTCTCCAAACACAAAACAAACGTATACATAAAAAAATCTTCTCTACTAAAGGAGAGCTTAAAATGCACTGAGCTATAGGGTGTCATTCGTTTCAAGTCATCATGCTATTGTATGTTTGCTCTCCTATAAAAAGTGTCATATAAATAAAAATATTGATTTTGAGATAAAAAACCTATTAAGAGAAGGTGATTTATGGTGAAAGGAGTAGAGAAAGAAATACTTGTTTTATAGAGGTAATATATATTATGTCTATAAAATGAAAAATATTAAGTGCTTTAGGACTGCATGTATGAAACCATAGAGACTGATATATCTTATTATATGCAACATGCATTGCTGGAAAAATAGAGTTTCTTGGCATTTCCTTGGAAATCTCTCGAAACAACATTTTTTATCATATTCTTCATTAATTCTTTCGGTTGAGGCATCAGAAATTCGGGTATTATGTCATATTTATAAACTTTTTCATTTGTATTTTTTGGTTTTTTACAAGATACTATTATTACGAGTCCATTGGGTAATACTTCAATGCTATATTCTTATATTTTGTGTTTATTCTGTTCTTCTCATAGTTAGTTACATTGAGATGGGCTTTTTCTTTTCTATAATGTTGTAATGGTGCAGATGATATTACTAGTCTTCATACCAAGTTTTTCTTGGGCTCCAGGATTGTGATGGGGTTCCTCTTAAAAGCACAATCAATCACAACATTATGCGTTGAACAACAGGATGAATAATTGTAAAAAATACTTAAATAAAGTTGGGCAGTGCCACAAGAATTCTCTTTACGAGTGTTAGTGATTCCTACGGCTGAGATGTTGGTTCTAGTTGAGCAAACTTAGCTTAGCATAGTACCAGTGCAACAAATACAATTTTATTTTTTTTTACTTTATTTTGATTTTTAAATGTTTTTTATTTATTCTTAAAACGTTTATCGTCGAAGAAAGATTTGCTTATCCTAATACTTCATAATTAACAAAATTCCTCACGGAGACCAGAAGGCCTATGTATCTCTTTCACAATACTTCGTTTTGGTATTGCTTGCTAACATGCGAGATATTTAGACACTGTTGTTGCTTTCACATGACAAATGCTGTTGATTCAATTCCAAGTATGCTACTTTATTTTTATTTCCATTCATAATTTGTTATACTCCATGTAAAAAATTTTATCCCGAGCTCTCAAAATTCGCAATTAGAAAATCGAAGTAGACGTGATTGGTTGTTTTTCATAATCTGGAAAAGTGCTGGTTAAAAATTCAATCCCACAAAGTGTTTCAATTTTAACTGAAAGCAGTTAGAATGATTTCTTTAAATTTCTATTTTCCAGAATATGTATCTAAGAGTTGATTGTATACTATTCAATGGCCACCACAGCATTATTTACATTCCCATGGGCACTTAGTGCGGTTTATTCATTTTCTTCCAACTTCCAGATGAATCAAGAGAAATCGGAACTATAGAGTTGTGAAACATAATTTGAGATAAAAAGCCGGTTTTGTATGGAATATTTGCAAATCGCTAGTAATACAAATCTTCTTTACTCCGTAATGTATATCCTTATTCTATTTCAATTTATAGTTTTTGACACAAGCTGTGATAGAATGAATATATAATAGCACTAGATAACCATAAATATAATTGATTTATATAAACAGCGTTATTTCAAATGTTTCCAAATATATAATGAGAATTTGTGAAATTCTACTACATTGCATTGGTATAAAATTTTACCGTTGCTAACTAGGAGGCGATTTCATAAGGCAATGAGTCTCACCATAACTATGATAATGGATCATGTATATTTGAAATCCTACATATTAATAAACTATGTTTAGCTTTATACCAACTAGTTAAGTGAGTCGGCACACATAATAACAATTGTCGAATTTCCTGCTATGTAATATTATTGTACTATATTTATTTTATGAATGTCTTCGTCACAGAGTGTAAGTATAGGTCTACACCTTAGTGTTGGATCTTCCGAAAATGGAAGATATGCATGACGCGTATATCGTTTTATGATGTAAGTTTTATTCGATATATATATTATTAATAGATATATATAGATTGTGTTATCTCTTTTTTGGTTTTATTTTTATTATCTTATAAAGAATTTTTACTTTAAGTTTCTATGGTTATGGTGTTTAAATATTTCATTAATTATCAATGTACTATCACGAATTATATGGTTATTTAAAAAATTAATTATGAAAAAACATTATGAATATCATATTATATATAATATCTCAAGTATATTGGATTCAACATATTAGTATCTAACTTAACAATAAATAATAGTTGACAAGATACAATAAAGTCAAAAAATAAAGGTAGTTGGATGGTAATTAACTTTTATCAGCAATTTAAGATTAATATGCTAATGAGAATTACATTATTAAAATCTGAATTTTTGAGAAGGTATTTAAGGGTTTTTTTTTTTTTTTTTTTTTTTTTTTTAAAAAAATTACTAGTCTATTATGTTAATTATTCATTTTAAGACTATAGAAAGTAATTATTGAAATATATTTCTTATATATTCAAGTAATGGAAACATATAGTCAAAATAAATAATGGAAAAATCTAGTCAAAATAGGTTGGGTTAATTAATTTAGCCATTAATATTTGGACAAATCTAATTTGGTGGGGACAGGTTCTCTGAAATGTCTGCCTAAAGATTTGGACATTTTCATGTTGAAGAACTGACCTAAACACCATATAACATGCAGGTTGATGTAGCCATGTGCTCTCCGATACAAGTCCTTTTCATTTTTTTTAATTTCAAATTTGTCTCTAAACCTAAAAAAAACAACACTTTGAATTTTCTGCTAAAGGTGTTTTTATATCCTGTCTTCTTTCCCTTAGTCAATTGGGTATATAGGCCCATTTACTTCTAGACTGGCCCACAAGCCCCACTTCATGCCTCTAATCTCGCCGAGACCACACCTCTTTCCTATATATAAGCCATCTCTTAGCTACAAAACAAGAGAAATAAATAAGTCAGTGTACCATTTTCACTTGTTAGTTACTTTCAGTTAGACGATGGCTGTCGATGATTCTTTCAGGAAACCTGGATCTGTCCCATTTAAGTGGGAGATCCGACCCGGTGTACCCAAGATCCAACACCAACAACAAAAACAGCAACCTAAGAAACTCTCTCCACCAACCTTACCATCTCCGTCACAGCCTTTCACTTCCCGGCTTACTCCGCAGCCACAACAAAAACTTAAACCTCCTCCTGGTGGATTCGTTTTCATCCCTCCACCCGAGCCCCGCACTCGTTCCTTCCGATCAAGTCAACGTACCCGCTCTGAACGTTGGCGGTTCGAACAACCCACTCGTGTAAGACCTGAATGCGTCTCACCCGGATGTTTTCCATCACCTTTATTAAAGAGGAAAGACAGTAAGAGAAGAACCGTCCAACTACCCGAATCCGAAACCGATTATACTTCTGACCTTGAGACACTTGCTCGGTGGTCCCTATCGAGCCGGAAATCATTTTCGCCGTTTCGTGACTCATCCGCGTCGTCTTTCTCGTCTTACCAGTCGTCTCCTCGAGTGCCGAGTGAGGCTGAATGGGCTGGGTTTGGTCTTTTTTGATGAACCCTATTGTATATATTTTCCATATACATAATTGCTGCTGGTTTGGAATGTTAAGCAAGAGTTGATTTTGGATTGCTGTTTGATCTTGTAGACTATGGCACAAGTGTTGTTATGTTTACCATTTTTGATATTGAAAAGAATGAAGATGACCTGTGCTGTGGATAGTTGTTGTTCTTGTTGTCATAGTAATAGAAGAAGTGTAGAATTACTATTAAAAAGTTGTATTGTATTACTCCATGGATGTAATTCCTGTTCTTGAGTGTTTGTTGAGATAATACAAGAAAATGAGATGAATGATTTTGAAATTTGAAGAGGGAAATAGAGTCAAGAGTCGATGTCTGTGTATGAATGCCATAGGCTATTTTTCAAGACAGAAGCATATTGTCTTGACTCTTGACCATGATTAGTGGAACAGAAATTGGGCTTTTTTTTTCTTTTATTTCTTTTTTGAATATCACATCTTATTTTAATCTATTCGACCCTTTAATTTATTTTAATTTTATTATTAATTACTTAAATTTATAAAATTATCATTTAAACACTTCAATTTATCGATTCAACTCTTATTTGATGTGAAAATCATTCGTTTAATAACTTAAGGTGAAAATGCATAAAAAATTTACACATTAACTTTTTCTTTTTTTGAATAAGCAAATTATTTAACAGTTGTAGATAATAAAATATGTTTACATTTATATTTAACAAATGCAACTACACATTTTAAAATGTTTAATGCTTGTAATTTTATAAATTAAATGTATAGCTGGATGAAATTAAAAATTGAATATATTATTATTATTTTCTTCCAAAGTTTAAATATCAAATGAGGAAAATAACCATTATTATTCAATTATCCCTCTCTTTTAATGACAAAACTTACACCTGCATCAAAAACCTCCGAAAACACCAAAAGATGAAAAAAAAAAAAAAAATCAAAAAGAAATAAAAACCTCAGAAAACACCAAAAGATGAAAAAAAAAAAAAAATACTAAAGAAATCTCACTTACGCCATAACAAAACAAAGAAGATGGAGCTAAAGGCTTGAGCGGGGTTTGCAGAAAAAGAGCCACCAGCAGACAGACTTGTCAATCTCACTCAAAAAAAAAAAAAAAATACAAAAGAAATTACTACGCCATAAAACAAAGAAGATGGGCTAAGGCCTTGGCGGGGTTTGCACCAAAAGAGCCCACCAGCCGACAGTGTCCAGTCCAGTGGAGTAATGCTTTTTGCTTAGGTTCAAACCCAAATCCGAATTCTCAGTCTGTCTTCCTGGTGGTTGGCAACGAAAAATAGGTCCTTCTGAAACTTCCTAACTGCAACTGTCACATTCTGAGCTTAGTCTGAAAAAATGATCTCTCCTATGGAAAAAAGCATTGCCTCTTTAATCCTGTTTGCCATTATGCATTCATTCCATTAGTACCAAATAATAATAGCCAACTAAAAACAATGGTCTCATCAAAGCTTCTAAACACTAGCAATTCTTCTCTTCTAATCAATCAAATACTATCCATTATGATCCAAAACCGCTCATTCGATTCCCAACTCGCATCTGCAACTGTTACCTCTTCTTTATTGACCGTCGATTTAATCTCCGATGTTTTCCGATCAATTCCAAGATTCTTCTTTCAATCAACGCGCTCCATTGGCCGCCAGAACACTACCCGCCACCGCTCTCCGTTAAAACAGCGCAACCTCAAGCAAGAATCCTGCAAATACCGTGACAAAGTGTTAGTTCTTGGCCCAGCTGCTTATAGAGACCACAAAAGGGTCAATGTAGGCTTAAACAAAGCAATGGAGTTCTTCTATTGGTTAGAAACTCATTTTAGCTTTGCACATACTGAAATGACTTGTAGAGAGATGGCTTGCGTTTTGGCTAGAGGGAATAGACTAGACAAGCTGTGGCAATTTCTTAAAGATATGGGAAGAAGAGAAAATGGTGTTGGTGTAAAACTTGTTACTACTAATACCATTACCTGTTTGATAAAAGTCCTAGGAGAAGAAGGGCTAGTCAATCAGGCATTGGCTTTGTTTTACAGAATGAAGCAGTACCATTGTAAACCGGATGTGTATGCTTATAATACAATTATTAATGCTCTTTGTCGTATTGGGAATTTTAAAAAGGCAAGATTTTTGTTAGAACAGATGGAGTTACCGGGCTTTATTTGCCCGCCTGACACATTTACTTACACTATAATGATTAGTTCTTATTGCAAGTTCAGTTTGCAAACTGGGTGTAGAAAAGCTATAAGAAGGAGGTTATGGGAGGCTAACCATATGTTTAGGATTATGTTGTTTAAAGGTTTTGTGCCTGATGTTGTTACTTATAATTGTTTGATTAATGGGTGTTGCAAGACTTACAGAATCGAGAGGGCTTTGGAGCTTTTTGAGGATATGAACAAAAGGGGCTGTGCTCCAAACCGTATTACTTATAATTCTTTCATTAGGTATTATAGCACAGTGAATGAGATCGATAAGGCCATTGAGATGTTAAGGAGGATGCAGAAGATGAATCATGGATTGGGCAGTTCTAGTTCTTATACTCCAATCATACATGCTTTATGTGAAACCGGAAGAGTGCAGGAGGCTTGGGATTTCCTAGTTGAGTTGGTTAATGAAGGCTCAATCCCTAGGGAGTATACATATAAGCTGGTTTGTGATGCAATGAAGTCAGTTCGAGAGGGCAATTTGCTAGATGATAAATTCCATAAAATAATTATAGATGGAATTGAAGATAGATATAGACAAGTAATGAAGGTGAAACCAACAATGGTTCCAAAAATAATACAGTAGTATATGTGAAGTCTAATAGCCATTCTGCAATGCTCAAGTCTAATAGCCAAAAATAATACAGTAGTATATGTGAAGTCTAATAGCCATTCTGCAATGCTCAAGTCTAATAGCCAAAAATAATACAGTAGTATATGTGAAGTCTAATAGCCATTCTGTAATAGAAGGTGAAGGACTCGGGAACAATGGGTTCGCCAAAAATAATACAGTAGTATATGTGAAGTCTAATAGCCATTCTGCAATGCTCAAGTCTAATAGCCAAAAATAATACAGTAGTATATGTGAAGTCTAATAGCCATTCTGCAATGCTCAAGTCTAATAGCCAAAAATAATACAGTAGTATATGTGAAGTCTAATAGCCATTCTGTAATGCTCAAGTCTAAGATAAAGTGAAGGGTCAATATACACTCAATAGAGTAAAGATAGAATGTAGACTCTGCCACTCTGCTGGTAAGGATCACAACACTGATTATTTTATTGTTTCAGATTCTTCAGGTTCAAATAATCGTCTTCCTTATAATTGGAAAATGGAAATATTTTTGCATATCTCTACTTCAGGTTTTCTGTCACTGCAAAATGTGGCTGTCGCAACTGAGCATCGTAAATATCCTAGTGCATTTTCATATCACATTCACACTTCAGAAAGGGACAGTGAAGTTTATCATGCCATGTCTGCTTCTTGACAGTCTAATTTCTCTAGTTCAGGTATGATTCTGAACTCAAAATTAACATCCTAAAAGGAACTTTGATATATGAGCTCAGAGCCAGCCATGTGTTTGACAGATAAAAAGCTTTGAAGCTAGAATTCTGATCCATTTGGCATAACATTGTGGGACAAAGATTTAACATAAAATGATGACTTGCATGCATTTATTTATGCATATATAATATAGCAGAAATGAAAAAAATTTGCCTCAAATGTGCATTTGGAGGAAGTTTCTCTTTCCCTCTATGCATCTATACATGCGTGTTATTGACTATCAATTATCTCTTTATTTGTTGCTGACTGCTCGTAATTGATATTTTAGTCTTAAATAGTGCAACCAGACATTCAAAAAAAATATAAAAGGATAAGGCATAGCTACAGAGTATATGATTGTAACATAGTAAAAGGAACATAAATTTTAATTTGTCTCTCACATTTTGAGCCATTTTATCCTTGATTAGGTAAATAGACACAAGTGAAATTGGATAGTTTGAGCTATTTTGATCATTGTTATTCTATTGGTTGAGTTTTAACACACAGTTGCAGTATTCATGCTTGAACATTAAACTTAACATTTTACTCGGATTCAATTCTCGTACTGGGAAAAATTCAAAAAATCTGGGTCAAATTATGATTGACGAGACATCCGATCAGCAAATTTTGAGGAATAGAAGGTCAAGTTGATAGATAGCAATGTTTCTTCAAAATTAGAGATGAAAGCAGTATGTATACTCACGAAATTTGAACTATTCGTACCGAATTCCTTTTAAATTTTCTATCGAAAACCATCCTAAAACCTATTTAAATATCCCTGCCCAAACCCATTAATAATCTTACTACATATACTCATTCTAAATATGTTTGAAGTACCCCCTTACGCTGGTACACACCCATAAATTTTAAACTGATTGAACTAGAACTCATTTAATAATTAACTATACATTGATAATATGTATTTGTGTAATTTTGCTTGCATCATATTTGACATAAATACTAACATAGCTTAATGGTAAAGTGCTTCCTGTCTCTTTTTGAAGCCAAAAGTAGAATATCCGCAATCAAACTCATATCTTCTGTTCCACTTCCATTCCCTATTCATAAATACTGTTTTGACAAGTCGTTGGGAAGTTGGACCTCATTGCACAAATACAAATATTATAAGGTGCTAACTCTATGTTGCATGAAAATGGAAACATAGAAATGGAAAAACCACATTTTAAATATAATTTATACAGGAAAATGGTATTTTATATCAAGAAATGGATGCACGAAAACGATTCTGAAACGCAAAAATATTACCCATAGCTAAGAGTTTTCTTGCATCATAATGTTGGCTTGTACTTTTACGAGGAGCATTGAGCATCCGAGTTTCAATGCAGTTAGGAGTAATTCATGCAAATTGCAGTAAATTAAGAGGTACTAGTAGGCTGAGCAGATTTCAATTTGAACTGACCAAACCAAACTGGTTTAGTTCGGTCAATTTTATCACAAGAAGGTTTGTTTTCGATTTAAATGGGTGAACTGAATTATATATATATATATATATATTTGGCTTTGTTCTTGACTTCAAGAGGATAAAACATTTAGGTCCAAAAATAAACTAAACTACCCTAAAAGCATCCAAAGTCCGATTACACCAAGCCGATTCAGTTCTGGTCTCTACTACCTTTATGAATTTTAATTTTGTGAAATTCAATAAATTTAATTTTTTTTAAATAAATCGGCCAAATATCTAAATTCATATTATATTTTGAAAAATTCTGCTGTATCTCAAATTTTACAGACACCTATTATACTCATAAAATTATAAGTTTTGATAATATTATTCACATTTCTACATTAGAAACAATATTTTAAAAATAAAAATAATTCTAACTGATTTATATATGTAATAACATCTTTCATGAAAACTGGTATTTTCGTTATTAAAATTACTTTCCGATACCCTTAAACTGAACAACATTAAGTTTTATTTACCTCACATTCTTTCCATATATGTATATATTTAAAAATCATTGTCTGAATTTACCTTAGTTAATAAATCCTATCAAAGGACTGGGGACCCACGTCTTGACCAAGAGACAAGTGAGCTTCCATCTCTTCCCCTACATTTACACACTTAACTCTCTTATTCCTGTGAAGTAAAATGATGTCCACGAAGCGTATTCAGTTCCTGGGTCTACTAACATTTATGAATTGTCTTAATTATGTGGACGTGTCAAGTATAACTTTTAATTTTTTTTTAAATAATCGGTCCAATATACTCTAAATTCATTTTATTGATATTAATGGAGAAGAATTCTGACACTGTTAAGTTCAAATATTTACCAGACATTCCTATTGATACTCATAAAATTATGAGAGATTTTGATAATATTATATCACATTTCTGGACATTAGATAACAAATATTTTAAAAAATTAAAATGAAATTCATAAACTGATTATATAATAATGGATAATTCAACATATCTTTTCCAATGGAAAACTGGTATTTTCGTTTAATTAGATAATTAAGTTTCGATAGCCTTAGGACGACTGAACAACAATTTACGAATGTTTTATTTAACCTCAGCATTCTTTATCCAGAAATATGTATGATGTTTAACAAAGTCAAGTAGTTGTCTGAATTTACTTAGTTTAATCAAAGTCCTATCAAGGAAAACGTGGGGAACGCGCACACGTCTGTGACCAAGAAGAGCAGTAGTGGAAGCTTACGCATACATTCTTTGCGCTATGAGCATTTTCACACAAGCTCTATAAATCTCTATATTCCTGTTGATAAGTAAAATCGATGATAAAGGGAAAAGCTGACTTATCATGCTGTTTGGGAATAATGATATATAAATATGATCGATGAGATAAATATCATTGTAATAAATCCTATCAAAGGACTGGGGACCCACGTCTTGACCAAGAGACAAGTGAGCTTCCATCTCTTCCCCTACATTTACACACTTAACTCTCTTATTCCTGTGAAGTAAAATGATGATAGGAAAACTGACTTATCATCTGTTGGGAATATGATATAAATAATCATAATATACATTATTATTATTTGCCTTTTTATCATATATTTTTCTCTCAAAATAATTAAAATCTTCTCCATTTTACTTATCCAATAAAGAAATAGTTTTGATTTCAAACTTCTCATTATAAAAATTCCATTGAATTTTTTTTAAAAAAAGTAATGATCGTATCTGCAGAATATGTCATTGTATTCATTGCTATCCATACCTTTATTTGTCTAGTCACTTTTAATTTTGTATTTATTAGATACAAGAAAAAAAAAAGAGCCAGACCGACACGAAATTGATTCTCATCTTTTATCTTAAATTTGAATGACATTTTTTTTTTATTCGTCCGAAAGTCTATAAGTCGAAATAACAATATACGCTATATAATTGGAGTAGTCTTTCCATTGACTAATCAAATTGATAAAATATTTTATAGTATAAAAGATTTAAACTCGAGCTCACTCCTCACGTTGGTGAAAAAATCAATTAAATCGTATCCGATTCATAATTTGAATAGTATTTAATAAATAAGCCAACTAAAGAGATTATAGTTACAATTGAGAAAGTGATGTCCCGTTGCCAATCCGGTCGTCATATCGTAATAAATTGTCGGTACTATTTTCTTATGTTGAATCATAGAACACTTGAATATATTATTTATTGCTATATAAGTCTTACTTTTAAGTGATTATAATTTATAGGAATAATAAATTAGGGATGTCATTTTAAATTGTTACATATTCTAATTTTCTTCTACTTAATTATCTGCAATTAAAATTTAAGATTTTAAGTTCATAATCAAGTTTAAGTGTGTTGTTTTTCTTTTGATTTAGTCTAAATAAAAGAAAATGTGAAGAAAATGTCCCTATCCTCTAAATAGAGTTCCTAATCCATTTTATATATTCGTAAAATAGATAAGCAAATAAATAATCAAATAATAGCATCGAGTTTCCTTTTTTATAAAGGTTTAATGACAAAAAAAAAGCCTGAACTTTGACATTTTTATCGATTATAGTCAGTTCTTTTAATTTTTATCAATTAATACTGCATATTTAGTTTTCTCTATCAATTCTAGTCTCCGTTTGTCTTCCGTTAATTTCATGCTAATGTGTCAGTTATCTCTTACAATTGGACCTTATAACATCCAATGTTAGCGCCAAGTCATATATCCACGTATATTAAAAAAAAAGCTTAAACTTTAAGATTTTTATCAAATCTAGCTAGTTCTTTTAATTTTATCAATTAATACGGTGGTAAGCTAGTTTCGTTTTAATTTTGATTCATTAATACTGCGTCACTAATTTTAATCTCTATCAAATGATTTTTTGTTGTTATTGATATTTTTCAGATTAGAAGTATTTTCATTAATTAAGCTATAGATATTAAGTGTATAATATGAGGAAATTAATCAATTTAGAAATCAATTTTTTAAAGAATATA